GTTTTAGTTGTAATACTATAAATGTAATATTTGTTGTCTGTCATTGTAGCTGGGATAATTTTACTTATTAAAGCTCATAATCTTACGAGTTGAAACATCACTGGTCCTGAAGCTGCTGGTAGACATTGTGGTTGGAATTATCAAAGGTTTTTGACACCTGAGAGACACCGTAGKAACTCCTTTGTGTTTGGAAGCTCGGGGTGGGGGTGGGGGGAGGACCAGGGAGGATGATTCAACCACTCAACCACTAGATGTCACTGAAAACAACAACTCCTACACACTGTGCCTTTAATAATTATTGTGTTTGTACAGTTATGTTTTCCTGTTACCATACTTCATCTCATCCCACCTCTCCCACTACGATACACTCGTTGACAAAGAAAGCACACCCTCACTCATCACACACGTTCGTAGTCGAAATACGATCATTTAAAAGCAGATTGGATGTTTTGGCAATCCCTAAGAACACATCTTAGAAATTAAGTTATTCTCAGTCTCGTGCAGTATTCGTGAACTCTTTCATGATCTGGTAGTGTTTAAAGTTGTTGAAATCCTCAATCTGTTCTGTGGTTCATGAGATATTCTAACAGACAAGCAGGTGTTAACTGCACCATAAGCTAACATTTGGTCTAAATTTAAGGCCAAACAATCAGAATACAATAAGATATGCTCAGTTTGAGATTTATATTTTTTACATCTTGTGTCTAAAATCTTTTTTAAAAAAAGAAATTAAAACAAATACAAGAGCACTTATGGATGAACATTTAAAAAAATAAAAATTCAGACATGCTCTAAAATAAACAGATCACCAGATTACATGTATTAGTCATGGTAAATCAACTTGAAGGTCAGACTGTTCAGATCTCTGGATCCTCGCTGCATCATCATCGTGTGCTGCCGCCTGCTGGCCCCGGATRAGAACCAACAGCTCAGTTCTTCTACCTACAGGTTCTGCTCGTCACAMCTTCAGCTTGTTTTCTGATCTGGTTGTGACCTGAGATAAAGCTCTCTTCTGTTCAGACAGTGAAATGCTGCCTCATGGGAATTTGCACCTGACTTTTTATGCTGGGTGATTAGAGCTGTGAAAATGTTCACTTTCAGGATGAGATGATTCAACACTTGTCTGCTACACCCCCATATTAGTTCAAGATATATCTAAATGTTTGATCCAGTTTGTTTTCTGCGTTGGTTCAAAAAAGTGTTGAGAAATTTCGGCGTGGCCTTCAGTCTTTGTATGGTGTTTTATGCACGTAATGCAGCACTTGCTCCCTACTTTCAACCTTTGGTGACCTTTAAATCCTGAATGGGTGATCCGATTAAAAAAACTAAACTGGTTTGAAATCTGTGCATAGAGCCTTTCAAATAAAAAAGTGGAAAACAGCTGTAAAATACATTTTGTCAAAGTGCCTGACCTGGGCCATCAAGGGTGGTGGGGCTTGGAATGAAGGCCACCCTTTAAAATTGGTGCCTCCACTGGCCTCCTTTTGTCAGACAGTTTTATACACATGAAATATTTTAAAATATTAATTTAGGCAAGGACAGTCTTCAATTATAATAACTATAATAAATCATGTTAATTCCAAATAACAAAAATAATAAAGTGTATTTATCAGAACATGATTGTCCTGTATTGTATGTCAGATTGCCTAATAAATCCCCTGAAAATTTGATWTTGGTGCCAGGGTTTTCAGTGGCCCTCCCCCCCCGTTAAAAATATTCAGAGGCATCAAAATGTCCTGATGCATCTCAGTAATCCAGGTAAAAAAATCAAAAAGAAAAATTTTTTATAGGTTTTCTGGACGGGTTCTTCTCTAATGAAACGTTTCATCTCTTCTCCAAGAAACTTCAGTCTGAGAGTTTCAGGCAAAATTCAGGCTTTTAAGCCCTGCCTCCATGTGACTGATACTCACATCACATGGCTATTGTTGACACCTAATTAACACTTATTGTTAACAGGGGGTGGAGTGATACTGGCAATAGCTGCACTGTAGGAGGGGGACAACTGAAAACGGAGGCCTCCACCTCTGTTTAATGATGGACGGTCTTTCTTCACAAAAATGGCTTCTTTTACTCCTCTCTCAAACCAACGTTCCTCTCTATCAAGAATGAGAACATCCTCATCTCTGAAAGAGTGACCGCTGGCCTGTAAATGAGTGAAAACTGCAGAGTTCTGGCCATTAGACGTAGCTCGTCTGTGTTGGGACATTCTTTTGAACAGTGGCTGCTTTGTTTCCCCGATGTATAACTGGTCGCAGTCCTCCTGGCACTTAACAGCATATACCACATTGCTCTGTTTGTGCCGGGGCACCGGATCTTTGGGGTGAACCAGCRTTTGCCGTAATGTGTTTTGGGGTTTGAAAGCCACTGGGACATCATGTTTAGAAAATAAACGTCTCAGTTTCTCCGAAACACCCGCAACATACGGAATAACCACTGGTTTGGGTCTGGGTTTGAAACGTTTCATTAGAGAAGAACCCGTCCAGAAGACCTATACATTTTTTTTCTTTTTGATTCAGAGGCATCACTAACATAGACCCCAAAATCAAACCCTGAAACCAATTTCTAGGGTCCACTGTTCAGTCAGTTTCTGATTTATGATTAAAACATAATCACCAGTAAGCTCGTGTTACTTTTTAATATGCCATAATGGTACTTGGAGAGCTCAGTCTTTTCCAAGGTGGTACTCATTAGAAAAAACTGATAAASCACCGACTCACGGTCTAAAAATGCAACAGTTAAAGTAAAGAAACAGTTATGGTTAGCAAAAAATAGAAAAAATGTTCTGCAATTTGAACACGTGATTTTGAATGGATTACAATAACCTGAAGATTTCATGACTACAATAAATGAAACTACGTACAGAGCGGGTTAACTTCAAAGACAGTCCGTGTTTAGGGCTATTGGTTGACTTTTATTATTGTGTTATTTGTATGACTYTTATGGTATTTCTTCTGTAGATTGTTTTATTTTTAAGTGATTTTAGCTTTACTGTTATGTTGCGTTCCATCAAAACCCCGAACCAAACATTAGCTTATAAAATAAGCAACCGAAACCGCCGACATCCTGCTTCTTGTGGCTGAAAATGATCAGGAGTTGGGATGTCCGTGAGTGCCTTGAAGGCAGCATTCGGCTAATCCAGCTCCTCGGGAACAGAGGGGCTTCCGGAGGCGGATAATCCTCATCTCTGCGGTCAGGAAGGGACAACACTCACCTACAGGGAGTAACACTTTCTGGAAGCTCATGTCATCCTTAACAGAAGCTTGGATGAGCAGGAAAAAAAATGGACAATTGTTGCGTTTTTGTGTAAATAAGAATTGAAACGTCTGACACCTTGTGTGATGTGACAGCTGTTCGTGTCGTTGGACCGTCTCGTGTGAAAACTAAAACCCAACAAAGTCGTCTTTTATTTTGTCGTTTGTGCACCGCGGTGATGGCGGTGACAGCCAGTCTGGTTTTAACTTTTCTCTCCGCGTCTTTGTGGCGGATCGGCGGCGAGCCGCTGACCCCTCCGTCCGCGACGACGCAGCTGAATTCGACGTCCAGCATCATCGCCGCGGTCAACCCGGAGGGCACGAGGAACAGAACCGACACCGCCGCCGCCCGGATCTCCCCGCTGATGGCGCATCTGCCCGCTCTGAAGAACATCGTCATCTTCATCTTCGTGCTGACCGCCGCTCTCATCACCTGTCTGGTCATCAAGGTGGTCAGGTATGGATCTCATCACAAACATTAACCTGTGGGGGTTTATTCTGCGCATGCGCATTAAAAATGTGACCATATATCCTGAATTTTAACCAGAATAAAACCAGTTTATGTGACTCTACTAGAGTGATGTCCATTGTTAGGTTATTATTTACTAAATTAGTTACTGTAAACTATTTAAATCTTTCAAACGTTACGATAAAACCATCAAGAAGTTTGATTTACTGCGTTGATTTTAGTCTCTGTTTGTTTGTGTCTGTTAGCAAAATATCTCATGAACCACAGGACTAATTTTCATGAAATCTGCAGAAAATAATCATTCATTGTACAACTAAAAAAAGATTATTTTTGGAGTCAGATGGATCAAAGATGGCTGTCACAGCCAGCTGACTTTAAAAACCACAAAACTGGTTATAATTCAGCCAATTTAATAGATGTTGATGTAAAATTTAGTTTGATAGTAGCTGAGACTGCCTCCCAACATATACTCTAAGTGTAACAGATTGTGCAGGATCTTTTGTTTTTAATAAATTGTGATGAACATTTTGGAGTCAGCTCTGTGTGTCTGTTAGCAAAATATTTCACGACCCACTGGACGGATTTTAATGAAATTTTCAGGAAATGATCATCCGGTGTGGATCTAGAAGTGATTACGTTTTAAAGTCAACCCGATTCAAGATGGCTGACCCAGGCTACTGACTTTTAAAAAAATAGCTGAAACTCAGCTAATGTTACATATATTGATCTAACTTTTGGGGTGTTATTGGCTGTGAACTGTTAACAAAATATTGTGTAAACTGCTGGATGGCTTATGTTGAATCTTTCAGGTAATAATCATTAAGCATATGCCTTTAACTTATTAACTTTTGGAGTTGTTCCTATTCTTGATGGCTGCCGTGGATAATCCACAGATATTGAACTTAACTTTGCTGTCAAAGTAGCTGAGAGTCATTAACAGCATGAGTTTCACATCCCCATGTTTGCAGTACAGTTGGTCAAACTTCAAATTTATTTGTTGAATCCGTTCCTTTTTTGTTTTAGGCCTAATTTCTCGTGGTTTCTTTTCTCACAGATCTGGCAGGAGAATCAGGAAAACACGAAAATATGACATCATAACTACGCCGGCGGAGCGCGTTGAGATGGCCCCTCTRAACGAGGAAAACGATGACGAGGACGATTCAACGCTCTTTGACATCAAATACAGGTTAGTAGACATTTTAGCTTAGCATTTTAGCTTTATTGGTTTTATTTCTGCTCTTTAATATCAATAAAACCTGTATTTTTAGTATTTTTTGTACCACTATACAAGTAAAGCAACTCGTGTGTCTGCTTTGAAGCAGCTCTTCCTGTTTCTCCTGATAATGATACTAAAGGGATAGTTCACATGTTTGGAAGTGGGGTTCTGARGAACAAATAGTATCTTACCTGTACTAGATAGCTTTTAGAATAACCTCATTTGGGTGAAACAGAGTTTAATTCTGAACTGAAATAGGATAAAACTCCTGCTGGAAGTGACTCAGGCTACATTTGAGGTAACCATCAACTTGGCAAAAAAAAAAAAAACGAATCTGCATTTCTCCAAAGTGAGGTCTTTCAAAGAGCTATCTGCAGCAGGTAAGATATTCACGAGTGAGGTCTTGTATCCAAGATGTTCTACAGACGGAACAGAACAATGTGGAGCTGAGAAAACAAGAGTTTCCCTCACGTCTGTGGGCAGCTTGTTCGAAGGAAACAGTTTTGTGTTGACATAAGGCTTCACCCTTCCGCACTTTCAATTGTTCTCTCTCTCCCACACACACACACACACACACACACACACACACACACACACTTGAGACACTTCCTCAAAGGAAAATATGACGTCCTGTTTACCTGACATTCCTGACCGACAGGCCTCCCCCAGAGATTACTGCTTCCTCCTCGCGCTGCGCTCGCTCAAGCTCTGTTCTGACTTTCTCCTTTCTGCCGCAGGTGAACGCCGGCGCCGCCGTCTGGAGCTCCTCGCCACACATCGAGTGGCTTTTCTGTATTTTCACGTCAGAGTCCCGTCACGTCACGTCAGCGGCCCGTGGCGCTGCTCGTCCGTGGCTTTAATCTGGATTAAAACAATTCAGATCTAATGCTCCTAAGATGAAGAGGCTTCATTCAGTTCAGATGTTCATAAACTTTATTTTTAACWAAATCAAATCTCATATTAATACTAACCACTTTATTGTGCACATACACTGTTTAAAGGCACAGTGTGTAGGATTTGTTGTTTTCAGCGACATCTAGTGGTTGAATCATCCTCCCTGGTCCTCCCCCCACCCCCACCTCCTGCTTCCAAACACAAAGCAGTTGCTACGGTGTCTCTCAGGTGTCAAAAACCTTTGATAATTCCAACCGCGATGTCTACCAGCAGCTTCAGGGCTAGTGATGTTTCAACTGGTAAGATTATGAGCTTTAATAAGTAAAATTATCCCAGCTACAATGACAGACAACAAATATTACATTTATAGTATTACAACTAAAACCGTTTTTGACGCCGCCACCGCAGTTTGTCCTTCATGAGCCTTCATAGACAAGATGGCGGTGCAAGATGGCGGCTGCCTGTAGTGGCGACCCGTGACCATGGAGATATAAACAGCTTTTTATAAGGTAAAAATAATAAAACAAGGTCTTTGTCTGCAATGATTAGACATGTTTTTTTATTATCGTCATTAGTGATTATCTCAATTTCGGCTAAAAGAGTTGACAAAATCCTACACACTGTGCCTTTAAGGCGTCTGCTCATCATGAATAAAGTGAGCATTTATGTATTTTTTTTTTCTTTCTAATCTTTTTACCCTTGTTTTGCTGCTATAACAGATTTAAAGTTGTCACGTTTGATCCTGAAGCTCCTGGAAACGTCTCAGTGATTTTTACTGAATGTGAATCTGTCCGTACGTGTTCTGAACTGTGGCAGGAATCCTAATCGGCAACATGCGTCTTGTAGTTTATGTCCTGACAGTTGATTTCCTTTTGCGCGAAAATAAACAGCTAATGTCGCTAATGTTTGCCAGTTGACGTGCCGTGGGATTTTTTATGGGATTTGCCAAAATAAATGTGATGTTTTATGAACCCAGACTGCCTGCTTTAGTGTGTCAGCATTTTTCGGAAATTTAGCGTGACCTTAAAGTTGATTTATATAATTTAGTTTGTTGCAAAACAAATTTGATTACAATTTAAAGCAATAAAATGATCAAATCTAAGTTGTTTCTGACAGCAGGTTAGGTTAGTCTGTTTGGTGACCTTCAGGTTTAATCCCTCTTGCAGCTGCTGACCTCCCATCCTGGTTTTAATAGCAGGAAAGAAAAAAAAAAAGGCAAATACCGTATCTGCAGTGAACCGATCTGTCCGGTAAAAGGAAGTTCTAAACACGCCACCATTTTTTTTTTAGAAGTGAATGTCTTTATTGCTGTTTTCTTTTACAACAAAAGTGTTTAACAAAACCAGAATATGTGAGTCAAATGKTATTTTATTTTTGTAAACCCTTTTTTTTTATCAACCTGAAGGACTTGTTATGTTAAAAATCAAKCAAAAACACATGTTGTATTGATTTAAAATATAAATTTGACTTTATATTTGTTGGAGCTTGTTGTTGGTGTGTAAATATTAATGCTTAAAGTGTCAATTTGCTGGAAGTAATTGTTGATTTCTCTCTGAGTTAAAAGGTTTTCTTGTATTGTACYTATTTGGGTCGGGTCGACATGTTTTAGATTCGACTATTTTTGGTTTCCATCTTAAGTGGGTCAGTTGTTTGAATTACTTGTTAAATATTCAGGTGCAACAATCAGTTTGTGTTAATCAAAACCTAAAATCTGCTTGTTTGTTCAAGATTATTGGTATCCTCTGTTGAGCTGTTTGTGAAAAATGACTGATTCGGCTGTAAAACTGAGCCGATCCGACTCAGTGCTGTCATCAAAGAAAAGCAGAAAAACTGGTGTGTATCTGATTGATTTGACTTTTTGTTTTAGGTGCAGGAAAGTTGAAGATGAATTACTTTGACTCAAGCAAGTAACTCAGCAAAGTATTTTATTTTTTACGTGTGTAAAAATCCTGGAAAAATCCTGCTCATGTCAAAGATGCTAATTGTCGAGTTTTTATTGGGTTTGAGTCATGAAGTCGTAACGTTTTCCTTGTAAAATAAATCAGTTGGAGCTGTGAAGACTTTTTAAACAACAAAAAGGTTTTTTTTTTTTTTTTTTTGTGAAGACTTTTTAAACAACAAAAAGGTTGTTTTTTTTTTAGGGAAGTTTGTGGAAAACAAGTTTGGCCCAGATGTTTTGGTTCCTCTGTTTTTACGACGGAATAAACCAACTTCCTCTGAAGCGTTAAATGTTTAAAGGGGYAAAAAAGAATAAAATAAAGGCTTGAGATATTTCTTCATTTCTCCTTTTTATGCTTTTTTTTGTAGCAGAGAAATACATTCACACTGTCTGCAATGAACAGTTTCTATGAGCTGTAATGAATATTTGACAAAAACCTAAATATGCTCAAGACGTGCAAAGGCTAATATCTGCTGCTAATCTGATTAATGACCCTCCTGCTGTCAAAAGTACCTCAGAGACCTCTGTTTTGACCCAWGAGCAGCAGGAGGGTTTAAAGGTGTAAGCATGAGTTACAGATGAAACAATGTAAGACAATGTAACAGTTTTACAGTAAATAACAAAGCTTTGGGTTTGTTAACTTTATAGTCTGGTCCCATAAAGCGTCTATTTTTACAGAGCTTCAGACTGCCGACGTCTAATACAAACTTTCAGGTTTATTCTTAGCTTAACGAGGCAGACGTGAGCAAAAATGCTCGCATCCTGTCAGAAACAACACTTTTTATGGGACGAATCACACGGCTGGGGCAACCGCTTCAGTTCAAATGTTTCTGGTGGTTCTAGTCAACAAAGAGGATACCACAAAGAGATCATCAAAAAAAAAAAAAAACTCCTAGAAACCCTTTACAGAGAAAGTACAAAAATATCCTCAAAAGTCATAAACTGGTTCGGCTTAAAAGGCCTGAAGAAGAATATAAAGTTAGTTAAGATAATCTACAGCCCTACAATAAGTTGTTTTTTGCTATTTGTGTGCATTTGCTTGTTTTATTTTTTATATAATGTTTAGTCTGATCTTTATGTTTTCCTGCTCTATTAGGAATAATTTAAACAATTTCTACCAAAAAAATAAATAAAAAATAATTAAAAAGGAAAAAAAAGTCCTCAGTTCAGATCGTTTGAAGTGGCGTTTTGTGGAAACGTTATGAACAGTTAATATCTTACCTGTTGTAGATCCACTTTTGTTTCAGACCAGATTAGCAATGATTCATTCAAACAGGGCCAGGACCAAAATGGAAARGGTTCTAGATTTTAAATATTCCTAGCAGATCATGCAAAACCTAATTTTAAATCCTTTCTAAGCATTTCCAGCAGAATCGTGACATTCATGATGATGATAATCTATTTTGGTGTTAACCACGGCTAGCCATTAGCATATCAAAATTAGGCTTTGAATGGACTACTCTGTTTTTTTATTATTAATTGGCTGTAGTAGGTAGTTTTTGAAGAGAAAAAATAAAGACAAAATTTTTTTAAAGCAAATAATTTTACAAACTCTATTTCCAGTAATTTTTTGTCAATACTGCTATCACTTTGTGGACAAAAAAACAAAAATAAATAAATAAATCAAGCTAATTTTACTATTTTGACATGGTCTTTCGTCATTAAACTTTGGTTGTGCACTGCAATATTAACAACTGAAAGAAAAATGGAAATTACGGGAGAATCTTTAGCCAAGCTGTTTTTTTGTAGAGATTCTCGCCACCTAGTGTTCAGCACAGGTATTTCAGCATTTTTATTAAAATTTATGGTTAAAAGAAAAAAATGCTTTAAAGAATATGTAGGAGTAGTAGATGAAGCCTTAAACCGAGATTGTTTAAAAATAAATTAAAAAGTATATTCGCAAATTTTCCACACTTCAACAGATCTGAACTGTTAGTTTCAATTATTGTCAGCTTAAATCTGCAAAAAACAATCAACATGGGGTTTAATACCAACCTAAAGTTGCTATAGAACTGTTCTAAGTTAACAAAGGCAAACTACAGCGTTTGTAAGGAAAATTCCGACACATTCGATTCGTTCTTAAAACAACTAAACACAAGGCTCTCCTTACAGCCGCCCTTTACCAACAGTGAGTTGAGTCTTTGAATAAACTCTACAGAGCGACTAACTGTTGGCTGTGTAAACATCCATGTGTGAACAGCTGCTGCGCTCCACATTCATCTTCACTCTGACGATCCAACAGACATTTTGTTTCTAAAGGCAATCAGAAGAGTTTGTCTGCGAAACGGTTTTAACACCGCTGAAAGTAAAAGCTTCTTCACAAAAAGAAACATCGTCAAGATCTGAAACTTATAAGCAACTAATTATTTGGATTATTTTAAAAAATGTCCCTSAAATACGAGTGTTTATTGTTAAATTTTTAACCCTTCGACGTGTCTGGTGCTTCATATTTTTCTGTAAAATTTCTGCACAACTAGAACCTCCTCAAATCATTAAACTTTTTTTTAACTGGATGCACAAGTTGTTATGATTATTTTCCTTCTCATTCACACACAAAAAAAAGTGTGTGTCTTTTCCCAAACCTGTATCCTCAGGTTTAAAACATAAGCCATCTGTCGCCGTTCCAGTTGTTCACAAATGAACCCCAGAGGGGTTTACGGTTGCCATAGAAATCTCATTAAAAGTAACATAAACCTGTGTAACGAGTCAATACAGGAGCCCGGAATAGAAAAAAGAGTTCACGGTGTCAGATCTTTGTGGACTTGTGGCTGCACGTCACAGGTCCCCGTGTGGAGCCGGAGCGCCCCCTGTCTGTGCAGCGAGCTCAAGGTCCTGAACTCCAGYGGCATGGTGTGAGGGCTGGAGCTGGACGTGTACTCGTACTTGAGCGTGTCGTAGTAGTGGTACTTCACCGGTCTGCCTCGTGGGTCCAGCGGGAACGGCCAGAAGCCATAAAGGTGGATCTCCTCGCAGAAACGGGTGGCCATGGTGTACATGAGGAGGCCGGTGGTCGGGCGTTTGATGTGGACGTTGTTCGTCAGCCAGTACCTGTCCGTAAAGACGTACAGGATGCTGTTAGCTGAATGACTAACCGTCAACCCAAATCAACCACAACAACACAAAAACAGCCACAACGCAGTCAATTTTACAGACATTTGAAGTAAAAGTTGGTGTGGTAGTATGGAACTAAATTAGGGCCAAAATGTTTGTTAAAACAAAAACATTTTGGGATAGAATTTCAAATTGATAAAAAAATTCAAAACTATTAGTATCATTTAATTGTAAGTATGACATGCCATTGTACCATCCAATTAATATGTATGGAGGGTTGTTGTATCATCTAATTGAAAACTATGGAAGTTTGTATCATATAATTAACAATGTATGGCAGGTGATTTTTATATAATGATAATATTAAAAAAATTGGAAAATAGTCGTGTCATAATTAACTATCTTAGGCAGGCCGTTGTATTAAATAATACAAATAAGGCAGGTCATTTTGTCATATAAGTAAAGTATGGCAGGTTGTATCATAATTTCAAAATATAGCAGATTTTTTTCATTTAAATAACGAAATATGGCAGGTCATTATGTCATATATTAAGAATACGTCGGGCCATTGTGTCCTAATAAATTTATTTTTTTTTTGTTTGAAATCACTTGTTTTCAGTTTTAAGAATTTTCTTTCAGTTTAATTTTTTTTCTGAACAAACTTTATGGCACCAATTTAGTTCTATATAGTACCTGAGCATCATTCTCAAAAAATAGCCKGAGGGCTGGAAACCTTTTCATTTTGCTTGCTTACAACATTGAAAATAATCAGCATTAACTCATTTTGTCTGTTAGCAAAATATCTCAAGAACAACTGGGTGGAATTTAATGAAACTTACAAGAAATAATTAGYTGTATGTCTTCAAATGATTACCGTTTGGAGGCAACTCGATTCAAGATGGCTGCCACAGCTGACTGACATTATCCAACATAAAAATGGTTGTAGCTCCGTCAGTTTTACAGATATTGGACTAATTTTATGAARGGTAGTAGCCGAGAGTCGTCTTCAACACAATATATGAGGGTTGCTTGGACTATGTTTGGCTTTATTACTTTTGGGGATCCTGTGTTTTCTTCTAATCTGAGATGCTGTGGTTTTATTATGGTGATCAGTTTATGTGCTGCAGGATAAACACTTCTAACAGGCTTAAAACAAGCAGAGGAGCAGGAAAACAAGATAATCATCAATAAAGCCAGTCAAGAGGAAATTGGTTGGAGTAAATATGAGCAGATCCTCTTGATGCTCTCCATGGTGGGTCATCTCCTCTAAATTACAGCAATTTTCTTTTCTGAAAAACTCATCTTAGTTTCTGAACAGAAATTACAGCCCGTTCTGCTCCATTTGTAACGTGGAGTTAGTCTGAGGACATCAAACAGGATCGTTTGTTGGGCGAGCAGCAGGAAGGTTTGGGCTTTTAACAAACACTCAGAGCTGAGTCTGGTCGGGAGAGAAGAAGAGCATTAAAACTGCAGAGATTTTTTTGTTTTTGTTTTTACAAGCCTGAAGTCAGTGAAGAAGGTGTTTTACAAAAGTACAAAAGGCAAAAAAGAAACAAGAACTGAACTGAATTTTACAGAGTCCCAGCAGAAACTCCTACAGGCAAATAAATCAGTTTGCTCATCATTTAGGAATGAAAGACTTTTATAAACCCGAACTACCTGGTGTAAGAGATAATTAAACTTTAGCTTCAAGTCATTTAAAGAGGAATAAATAAGAAAGGTGCTACTTGATTCAGCACAGAGTTAAAACAACCTGAAGTCTCTTCTGATCATATTTTTTTGTTTTGTAAAGTCAGTCAGCTGTGGCGGCCATCTTGAATTGGGTCGACACCAAAACTGAATCAGTTGAAGACGTATGTCCAGTAACTAATTCCTGAAATTTTCATTAAATTCTGTCCAGCTCTTCATGAGATATTTTGCTAACAGTCATACAGCGATGTCTCAAAAATGTTAGCGGGAAAAAGTGTTGGGCGATCAGTCTCACCTGACAAACACACACAGAAACACATGCAGAAATATTTTTTGCCCTTTAGTACGTAAATAAATGTTTAAACCCTCCTGTTGCTCTTGGGTCATATCGACCCACGGTACCTTAGTTTAAAAACTCAGGCCTTGAATTATTTTAACCCAAGAGCAGCAGGAGGGTTTTATAAAAATTATTTTAGTTGCAATCTACAACTTGGCCAGCAGGTGTCACTAAACCTTTATAGTTCATAAATCATTCCTAAAAATTCAATTWAAGTAATTTTCTATTAAATTCAAGAAAGTTTTCAAGGCTTTCCTGAATGATAAATAAAGTTTTTCTATATCGTTCATAGTTTAAACTCCAAAATTAAGATTTTACTTACTCAGCACATAAAAAATATTGCTTTAAAATTAGACCTCAAAWACCCTTTTTTATGACGAGAAATTAACCAAAAATGCAACAAATATCTAAAATATGCTGCTTTTATAATTTCACCTTAGATCCGTTATGAACTCTAAAATAAAACATTTAGGATTTATTTAGGTAAATTTGATATAAAAAAGTCAGATTAAAACAACATCAGGTTTGAATGAGGCAGTTTAGCATCATATCAAGTCTTCTCCATGAAATAAAATTAATAAAAGAACAATTAAAGCAGATATTTACTATGAAAGTAAAAGTATTATATTGCTTAAGCTTTTTGTAATTGTAAATAATCAAAATCCCCTGCTCCTGTGTGAGACCTGCCTACTCCTTTGATTGGTAAATACATTTTTATAACCAGCATGAGACAAACTTAGGGTCTAAATGTAGATTTTTGTTTTCATTTCAGTTTAATAGAAATCACTTTTCCCGTGATTGTCACAAGCGTTTTCYACAGGAATCCATTTTTATTCTCAGGCACCTGCTTGATTTGCATCCTGAGCGCAAAATCAATTTGTTCAGCAAACAAGCGCCTCTCTCAAAATGTCAAACAAAGCCTCTGAGTGACGAAGACATTAAAAAATGAGCATATAAAAGGTGGACGCGTTTCTTAGAGAAGCAGATTTTTCACGTGTCAGATTTGGGACCCGGAGGTCTCACTTCCTGCCCTGCTGATCGACTCGGTTTTAAAAATGGTCCACGACTCGATTTTGCTGACGCTGCAGCAGTTTCTCACCCTCTGACGGCGTGGAGGAGGCGCAGCGACGGGAAGGCCATGCGGACGTCCACCGCGTGCAGCAGGATGAGGCGGAGGGCCCACTCCACGCGCTCCTCCCCGCCTTTGGCCATGAAGGCCGGGATCCACAGCACGCTGCCGCCGAGGTCCCGAAGACGCCGCAGGAAGCGCTCCTTCCACTCTTCTGTGACCAGGTCCTGGAAGGCCCGCTGCACCACAGAGGGGTTCATGGTCACCAGGTTGGTCCGTCGGCCCACATCCTCAGAGTATTCCTCCACCGGCGCCAAGTTACACCTAAAAATTACAAATGTCTCAGAAAGAACTGCATGATGCCTCTGTGCTGGAAATAAATCAAAACAGACGACTTCCAAACAGGACACCAAGAGTTACAATTGTTCAAATCGACCACCAGGACAAGAGCTGATTTATGTCTACGTAAATTCAGAGCAAAGCATCTTTTTTATGTAAAATATGAAAGGTTAGTAACGTTAGGAGTGCTAGTTTCCACTGAGACTGGCCCGTTTTCTGTTCCTGATTCTGCGACCTGCAGAAAATGTCACTAAATGAATTTATAGTTCAGGTAAGCCTGTCTGCAGCTGAAATAAAAACCAAATCTGTTCAGAGAGGAGCAAATATGGGTCAAATCATGGGTACAATCTGAAACATGAATCTAATTAGCAAAGGAATGCCGGTCAAGGATTGCTTTCTGAGTTTCATTTATGTGTCCAGTGATTAAGAAGACACTTTATATACAGATAAATGATGCACACAAACAGACAACTACATGTTTGCCTGCTTTCCATGACCACAAGCCAAAGGAAGTAGATACAGGTCACCTTTACAGATCTGAACTAGCATTTTTTTTTCAATGTGGCCATTCGATTTTAAACAAGTGACGTCATCACGTAGGGAATTCCGTCATCACATATGCCATACATGATGTAATTTGGTTTTTTCAAGCAGAAACCCCTCTTCTCCTGCGCTGCTGTACMCCACCCCTCTGCCTGTTTTCTGTGAAAAATCAAAGAAGGAGCAATTGTCCTTGTTGTTAAAAAGAAAAGAAAATAATAAAACTACGAGCCTTTGTTTACCAGCTGGTCTACGTTCCTACTCTCACCTATGATCAAAAACTCTGGGATGTGACCAAAAGACTAATATTGTGGATACAGACAGTTGAAAGGAGTTTTCTCCATGGGGTATCCCTTAGAGATGGGATGAGTTTGTAGGGTTTGCTTACATTTAATGCAAAAAAGTTGACTAAGTTTTTGTTTTTTTGCATTCTGTTTGTGTGACTGACAGGAAGAGAACAGATGGTAGTCAGAGAACATCCTTCCACCTGTGAGCTGAAATCCTCCATACCTGCGACCTCGAACGCTGTCAGCCTACATAGAAGGAGCCAAGTGAAGGCGGGGGACTATATTTAGCCGACACATTATCTTCTCATCTCGTATGCGGGTGCCAAAGCAAAATTCCTCGGCTTCTCAAAATGACACATTTCCTGTTCTCTGCTACCAGCCAGTCGTTCCCGTCATGATGCTGCTGGAGTCTTAAAAGCACAATCCCTGCTTCATTAAAAACACTTAAAAAAAGAAAAAGAGTATGCGAACATGTACGTCAGAGATCAGTCGGCTCACACTTCCACTTCTACACCAAAGTTACATGAACTGGTCGAGTGTTTTTCACCGGAGATGGTGCACATTTTGTTAGATCCAAGTCTGCAATGACTTTCATTCAGAGGCTGCTTTGAAGAGTGACACGTTAATCAGACAGACCGACACCTGCACTCGTGCCATGACACAAACAGAACGTCTCTGTGGGGTCACATTCTGTGGAGGGTCCCAAAACTCGTGTCCCAAGTGAAAACCCTACCTGATGACAAAGTCATGCGAGTCGATCTCAGGCCCACAGCTGCTGTTCAGCAGGACTCCAGAGTTGCCCACGATGGCACAGCTCCGGTGGTGCTGGTGCTTCAAGGGGGACACGGTTGGCAGCAGGCGGTAGAGGTTCTCTGAGACATTCGTGGTGCTGTGGCGATCGAAGACGTAGTGGACGATGTCCCCTGCCTTCAGCGTTCCCTTCAGGATGGAGATGTCTCTCTCCGGGTCGAGGAATCGCAGAATGTTCTTCCTGTGGATCAGAGAAAAACACACACCGATTATTCGAAAGTCTTTTCAACGCGTCTTGAGAAAGGACAGACGATGAAACAAACCTGATGAGGTTGGAGAGAGTCTTGTTAAAAGTCCAGGTGCTTGGTGAGAGTTTGGTGGTTTTGTTGCAGCTCGAACAGTGATGAAGATCCGTCACTGCCGAGGCTGTCGGATCCAAGTGAACCACAGCCTTACTAAAAGACAGACAAAAACATCTGATCTTTAGGAGTCATGGTCAGATGTAAGGTACGCATTCCTTCCACATTTTGTTTTTAATGAAACGGTATCATATGGATATTTTTTATTTCCTGACAGATCTCAGGATCAAACAGGCTCTCAACTTAATGGACAATGTTTGGCTCCCAGAGGTTTCAATGTATGACCCATAAAATGAGTCAGTAAAATAAAGACCAAATAAAGACACCATTAACTCAACAACCACTGATTACCTCTACCCTTATAACTATTCTAGTATCCCTTGAAAGAGTTAATGAAAACTATGCTATTAGCGGTTATGTTTACATTTAATTTATCGTCTCCAGGCGTGAGCGAGGGCATGAAAGGTTGTCTTGCTCTCTATGGCCCTGTGATAGACTTGTACAGGGTATTCCCCCACCTCTCGCAGTGAATTTTGGACATAGGTACCAGTTCACTGTGACCCGGTATCATGTTTGCAGCCTTTAGAACCCAAGACAAAATACCCCAAAGGTCAAAAAGGAAACTGATTTTCAAAATAAAGTTCTGTGATGGCAGCATGAGTACTTATAGGCTGCTCATACGAGGGTCAAACATGACAGGTAGGAAAACTCAACGCAAGTCAGCAGTAAAGAGCTTTGAGTGCTGCCAAAAATCTCAAGTAGGAAGCAAAGAAACCCAATAATCCTGCCATCTTGGATTATTGACATTATCTTAGATTGGTGGATCAATAATGAACTGATTGAGTGTGCTCAGTCTAAAACATACCACAATAAGAAGATAAATAAAAGCTCCTCTTCATGACCCCCCTATCATGCTAAACTGATGGTTCCCAAACTTTTTATTCTTTCACCGCTCACATGAAATGACAAATCACTTTGTGTTCCTGTCAGAAGCTTTTTAAATAAAGTTATGCCACGCTCGCTTCTCAGTGACTCATCGTCAAGGCTGCAGAAAAAAGTGACCAAAAGTAAAATCAAAATAAACAAAAATCACGGAACACCAAGTGTAAAATAAAATGTTAAAGATTTTCACTAAAATATTTTCATTATTTAGCTCACTTTCTGAGTGTTAAATATTGTCACTAACATTTTACCATTTAGCTCACTGTTCTTACATTTGATTAATTTTTATTAAATGTTAAATGGGGGTGGGGGGTGTAAATTTGCTTTCTTTGAGCTTTTAATCATGTTATAGTGTGTGTATAGAGTATTGCTTTGACTCCTTCATGCAATTTTGGGATTTTGTGGTAGCCACGTGGAGCTGGTACAAAGCTCCGCCTATTTGTACCTAGCTCCTCCCTGGAGCTCAGTCTGAAGCCGAGCTCCTGCCCCACAGAGCAGCCTTTGCTGTTGGTCCTCGGCTCTTGTTGGGACATCATCATTGTGAGACAAAAGCAACCACTAACACTATTAATGCTACTGAATATGATGTTTAAAATCTAAGTTCAAAACGTGTTTGTTGAAAACAATATGGACGGTACCTGTGGTCAAGAAAATTGAATTGCAGCTTGGACACTGGCTGCAATTGCAAGTTTGATGGCTTGTAAGCATAAGCATAAGCAGGATTAGCAGCGTTAGCAGTGTTAGTAGAATTGGCAGCATGAGCAGTGTTAGTAGCGTTAGCAGTGTTAGTAGCATTAGCAGCATTAGCAGTGTTAGTAGCATTAGCAGTGTTAGCAGTGTTAGTAGCATTAGCAGTGTTAGCAGTGTTAGCAGTGTTAGTAGCATTAGCAGCATTAGCAGCATTAGCAGTGTTAGTAGCATTAGCAGTGTTAGTAGCATTAGCAGCATTAGCAGTGTTAGTAGCATTAGCAGCATTAGCAGTGTTAGCAGTGTTAATAGCATTAGCAGCATTAGCAGTGTTAGTAGCATTAGCAGCATTAGCAGTGTTAGCAGTGTTAATAGCATTAGCAGCATTAGCAGTGTTAGTAGCATTAGCAGCATTAGCAGTGTTAGCAGTGTTAATAGCATTAGCAGCATTAGCAGTGTTAGTAGCATTAGCAGCATTAGCAGTGTTAGCAGTGTTAATAGCATTAGCAGCATTAGCAGTGTTAGTAGCATTAGCAGCATTAGCAGTGTTAGCAGTGTTAATAGCATTAGCAGCATTAGCAGTGTTAGTAGCATTAGCAGCATTAGCA